TATTAATAAAAAAAATTAAAGAATTTAAATAAATATTTTAAATTATTAATAATAAAAATTTAAACTTAAAAATTATACACTGATTTATCTTAGTTTTAAAGCTTTTATTAATTGCAACATCTAATGGTTACAATTTTGATATGTAACCACCCGGAATTATAGCAATATTTATATTTTTTTCTACCAATCGATTTTTAATTGAATTTACAATATGATCGCGAAAAGAATCTATTACCAATAAGGAACGTAGATTACTAAAAGGATTTCTTGATATTCACACAGTTTCAGTCTACCATAGCATCTCTTTTTTATTTATCCACCCTTTTTCATTTGCTTGTATATGAATACCATGAGGAAAATTTTCTCTTGGCAAATTTTTCAACTTAAAAATGCAAACTGCTGGAAGTTTGCTACTATCAGCCATACATGCAAGTACAACTGTAAAAGATGAATGCTCGTGATCTGTAATACGAATACTAACCATTTTGTACCTTTATGATCTATGGTGGAATTATTTGGTAAATCAAACCATAAATATGTCTCATCCATATTACCTATGTATTTTAACGGATAGTCATGCTGAATCCTTCTATATAAAACATAACTTAAAAAAATATTTTATTTTTTAAGTAAGTCTTGTGATAATTGTTGTGCTACTGTTATTCTGCATCATTCACTAAGATTATATCTTCTCAAAAATCCACTTAACCATTTGTTTGAAAATTTGAATGAAATTATATTTAGATTATTTGTCAAAAAATCCTGATTTTTAGATAGCATGATTGCTTTATTGGTAATTATTTTTCAGTTAATGGCATTTTGATTTATTCTTCTATCACAAACCCATATATATAATTCATCTTTCAAATCTGTATATTTAGCAGATTTACCTGGATGAAGCTTAAGAATATGAGGTGCACATGCCAATAATTTTGCTTTATTGTTATTTCATTCGCATACTTGTTTTGGTTGAATATTAAAATATTTGGCAGTTCCATGTTTACTTCCTTCATTATTTTTCAAAAAATATACCACTATTAATTTTTCTCTTACATTCTATTATTGTCTTTTTTTTGTGATAAACGATTACATACTTTTTGATTTTTTTTATTTCTAATAATAACTATTTTTACTTTAAAATAATTCACGTCATAAATAAAAAACAAAGAAATGAAAGCGCATTTATTATTTATAAGGATTTATTACACAAAATAGAGGAAGAAACAGATAAATGTGATCTTTTTTTCCTAAAAGGGTAATTTACCTTATTTCTAAATATAAATATGTCTGGGTATTATATATGGCAAATATCCTGGGTACTTTATAAATCTTATACCCTCTTATGCATAGTATCCCTATTGTATCCCCTGTATAATATACCTCAGGTATAGCCTTTAACTCCTTAAAATTTGTATCATACCTAAGATATTATAGTTCCTGTTATACGGTAATCTATTACGTTCATAATAATATAGTTCAATTATTCATGCAATCAATCCTTTTTCATATTGTCTCACATGTTAGGCATTTATATATGTTTATTATAAAGTTATTGATTATAGAAGATTGAAACTTTTGGATGTTAGATAAACGAGCTTCTTATTTTTTTGTATTCTTTCTAGAATAACAATTTCTGGGTTTTGATCATACCATACCTCAAGAAGAAAGATTCCATTATCTTAACATATATATCTTTTTTGCTGATGATGATTAATAACGTCCTTGAGTTTTTTGATATCTTTATACCAGTTAATACTATGAAACTGATGCTGAGCCCCTTGCATCTCCAATGCGATTTAATATTTTTGGAAGAATGCATCAAGCTCTAATCCATTTAAGAAGGAAGGCTGATATTCTATTATAGATTCTTAATTAAGAATTTTCTTAGCATTTAATTTGAAATTTGCGATTTTTCTTAGATTCTGATTCTTTTTTAATATTATCAATATTGCATATTAATTTTGCTACTTCAGCTTTAAGTTCATAAATCTCAGAATCAGTATCTCTCCTATCCTTCTCTAACTTCTTGATTCTACTCTCAAATTTAGATGTCATAATTGATAATATTTTATACACAACAGGAATTATTCAATATTATTGGCAAATAAAAAACTGCTTTATTAATACATGCAAAAATAAATACAGAATTCAGGATGCTAGCTTGCGATACATATTATTTTTGATTATTTTTTTGATCCTAACCCTCTTACTAGTTGGAGAACATTTACACTAACCCTATCCTTTAACAGCCTAACAATTATACCAATTACCCTTTTCATGTTGCTTTGAAGTAATTCAGGATTATCTTTAATTGCAGACTTCGTAAGATTAATCTGATATTCGCTACCACTTGTAGAGAAGATGCCATCTGGAGTATATATGATAAAATGCCACTCTGTACCTGTGGTTACAATACCATAGATATAGTTGAAATAGTCATTTCCAAATGCTTGATTTGCAGTTTATTTTTTCTTATTTGTTTAAAATGCATTTTCAAGTTACATCAGATTCTAAAAAATAAACCATCATTAATATGTTAGAAAGCAAAAATGTAAATAGTAGGTCTACCTGAGCATATCCAATCTTAATATTTTATGATTTCCCTTCAGTGATACAAAGAAGATCTTCTAGATTTTTGATCGCGTATTTTACTTGACCAGTAGCATCTTCACCAGAAACTTCCTTTTGAAATACTATAAATATATCTTGGGAGGTAAGTTTTTTAGTTATAGCGATGGATGTATGGAGAATTGATGAAATAAATTCACAGCGCATTGTCTCGTTAAATATTGGTCATAGTTTCTACATTCAAAAGTTTTAAGATAATGTTCTCTATACAGTATTCGAATGCCTTATTATCATCATTAATCTCCTCGAAGACTAAAGAAAAAAATAAAGTTAATATAGCTATCTAGTCAATTTAAAAATTAATTAATTATCTACTAGAAGTAAACTGCTTGATATTTGTTATATCTTCCCTATTCATCTTATTTTTATGTAACATTTTCTTTAAATCATCAGGAGTTTTAAGCAAGAAATAATTTTGTAGCTTCTGGTTGAGACCTTTGATAAATTTTGTAAGTGTTGTTGCAGGACTAGTCTTCAAGTCATAGCTTTGAAACTCCTCTTTAGTTATGTCAAGGAAGATAAAACCAGATATTTTCTCTTTACGAAGAATTTTAATATCATTCTCATCGAGTTTCAAGTCTTTCCTTCCCAAATAATCGATAAGCTTCTCTGTATTAAAATTCTTAACCACGTCTGACATTGTTCAAGAAGAAATTTCTTCTGTTATTAAGGCAGGTAAAGCGAGTGAAGAAGTTTGTAAAGATATGGTTTTTATATATGTAGGTTTGTGCTTGCAAAAAAATATGCACTTAACTGCAGTTACAGATAAAGCTGGTTTATAAATAAAAAAGTATTTTGATTTCAGTGTTCAGAGAGAAATGATAGATTTTTTGTATCAATTAATGCTTTTACCCAATATATATGCAATTAAGATGTAATACAGAATAGTCAGGCAATATAATTTTACATGACATTTATGGCAAAAACGTAATATATGCTTTATTAAAAAAATAAAAAAAAATATTGCTAGAACTCAGCCTACAATACATAAAAATTTAGTCGTTAAGGTGTTTCACATGACTATATCACTATTCATTTCAATACTGAGGTATTTTAATATCTAAATAAATTATAATATGAATATCTTTTTTAGAAGGTTGCTTGGAAAAATGATCAAGAATATTAAGCATTAGAATCAGCGTCTGTCCTTCATTCTATCTTCTACTATTCACACTTATCATCACTCCTTTAGCATTAATTGATGCTAGCACTTTATCTAAATTTAAAGAAATTGCACAGATTACAAATTTAGTAATTGAAATATCATCAAATTGAGAAGTATATTCTTTTTTAATTTGTGATCTGAGAGAATGGACAGATTCATTGTTGTTAATTTTAATTATAATGATATGTTGTTGTTTAATTCTCTCAACTGAATCTCTAGGAATAACAAGACAATTAAGCCCGATTTCTGGCATTTTGCTTTTCCTAAATATTAATGTCCATAGTGAATAAAGTTTCATTCGTACAGATGCAATAATCCTTTGAAACATTCTTTTTTTCTAAAATATACAATAAAATATATTACCTTAAAATTTTGCGGAAAAGTTAACTGAACTTTCACATACTCCTACATACTTTATATCTTACTGGAAAAGAGTTAAGGAGGTATGAGGCATAATTAGTATTGTCATCTGATGCCAAGAGTTTTATAAAGGCACATGCAAAACAAAATCTTCATAACTTTTCACATGTAGATCTATGCTGCAAGACATATAGTTAGTTTTACGCCTGGCGATCTCAAAATTCCAAAGTCCTCAACCTTTCATAATATATGCTTTGTCATTACTATTAACTTATAGAGTAAGTCCTGTATTGCGTATAGACCTTCTTTCACATTTTTCTCATGTTTGTATGAGAAAAATAGAGATACTGGTTAGCATACACAACTTTCAATATATGCAAAAAAATAATGTTTCATAGACTGATCGTGTGATTAGTCATTACATTATTATATAGAAATCTATAGCTCAGCAAATTCTTCTGAGCTAGTGATCACTGCTCTGGTTGATGATCAGTATTTCGAACACAAATTTGAATATATGCTAGCTAGAGATAAATATAATCATGACAAGTAATACTAATAATAAATTTGTTCAAAACGAAATACTTAAAAATCAACTATATGAAGTGCTTTTATACAAGAAGATAGAAGTATTAGCTATTCAGGAACGCCTAACTGAAAGAAATCTTGGTATTAATGACAATGCAAACTAAACAGAATTGAATCAAAGCAAGAAATCAGAAATACTTGATTATACAAGTAGACTATTGTTTGATTTAATAGAAAAAATTATATCGATAGAGAAGGTTCTTAAGATTAGTGGCCACCCAACTAGGATTCTGAACAATATATGTATATGTTAGATTTGAGATTGCTTATTAAACATAGAAAATTTTTGATTAAGTTACCTAAAATTTTGCGTAGCAGATAACAAAATTTTAATAT